GCTTATGTATGTGGCGTTCATATATAAGCAATTTATGCTTTTAATTTGGAACGCGTGAGCTTCGTTCTGTTTTTCTGTATGAGCCTTATGTGAATGGACAGGTAGCCCACCTATATTAGGTTTGCCAAGGTGGCAGGCCCTGTCCTTCACACGTTTTTTTATCATTTAGACAGTCCACAAGTGGAATGGTCAGCTGCAACTTGCCTTTGTGCTTGGTCCTAGCTTCATATGACCTATCCGGGTGCATGTGGATTCTAGGTGGCAATCGACGTCTGTTGGCACGAAATGCTTCCAGAACTGCAGCCGCCATGTGGGAAGATGGGAAGGTTATCTTCATTAGACAGGGTCTAAGATCACTATCCTTTTTGGCTAGTCTCGTCACATGCTCAGTCAGTATGTGTTTGAGCCTCAAGGACTGTCTGATGAATTTCCATTCCCTGATGTCAGAATTTGATTGAGTAGGGTCTGCATTTTCCGGTAAACCTTGCTCAATTATGTTTCTTCCGCGGAAGAACTTCCCGCGAGATTCTTTAAGGGTGTTCCATATGATATTGCGCTCAGAGTGCAGTATGTCGGGCTGGATGGTAATAATAATAATATATATTTCTGCATGCGCAGGTACACGCCATTTTTACAGGCATGATCTATAAATTACAACATTTGTTGGTTCACAACATGCTTCGCAACTTATTTAGTTTATAGTTGATATAAAGTATACCCGTAGAGCGCTTGCTGTTAACTGTGACCTTGAGGGGACGCGTACGTTAAGTTTGTTCCAGACGTCAGAATTTTCATAGCTGTACCCTCAGAGCGAATTTCTGAAGAAAAAGAGAAACAGAAGAGCAGCAAGACACTTGGATATGAACTCCAAACGTTGCTTAACATTGTGCAGTAGAACGGACAGAGGTATAATAAACAAGAATAAATTCATATTATCTCTTGTTAGAGCGAAATGAAGTCAGAGGCTCTATATTAGAGAATGTAGTAATGAAGAACAATGAATTGTGTCATTTAACGAGTTATTATTATTATTATTATTATTATTATTATTATTATTATTATTATTATTATTCACAAACATCTTATGGGTACATAAGTGTTGTGAAGAAACCATTTCGGGTTTCTTCAGAAAATGCAATAATACACAATTTTCAATAATGTTAGCATTATACTTGCCATATTTAAAAAAAAATAATAATAAAAATAAAATAAAAAATTGAGAATAATAATAGTAGAATATTAATAATAATAAATGGGGTCTTTGTAATTGAGAAGAATATTGAATTGAGTTTAAAGAAGGAAATGGAGAAAATAAGGGAATAGAAATAAAGGAGACGTGAAATACGCAAACAGTCTAATAGGGGTGTTTATGAACACAAAACAAGAATAAACGACTATGTGTGTATCGTTAAATTAGTAAGAAAAAATAATTTATCAATGTAGTAAGATATGACACTAGAATAAATGTTTGTGCAGTTATAATTTAGAGTGATGCTATGAAAGTCACAATTTAGTGAAAAGTATAATAAAATATCACTATGTATGAGTCATATATGCATAGTGAAGATGAAACGAATCTGAAAAGTTAATTAAAGTGTAACACAAGTTATTGTTTTAATTACAAACTTCGTAATATTAAGAATAATATTTATTTAGAGGGAAAGAAGAGAAAGAAAAGAAGTGAACACCTAGTGAAAAGATTCATCCATGATAAGAATAATAATTGTGTAATGAATATCAACCTCAGAAGGAAACCAGAAATTTTAAAAAAAATCCTTTAAAGCACTCGGATGAATACATTTAGATTTATGTAATAGTATACAGAGTGAAACCGGATATTAGTATAAATATTTGTGCAATAATAATTAAGATTGATGCTATGAAAGTCAAAATTGATTTCAAAGGACAATCTGTAGTTAAATATGTTTAGAAGGATAAGAAGATACAAAAAGAATATCTAATGTGTCGGGGAACTAATAATGATATTAATAACGGTAATAATGATAAACACGAACATAATCAGACTTCATATATTAAGATAAAGAGAAATAAAACAAAATAGACGTGAAAAGATTTAAAGGTTTTATTTTGCTTTTCAAGCAATTAAATGGATGACGGACCTTGTTTGTATAAATCATTATTGAATACATTGATATTCAATAGGTGACATAATCCACTTTCGGAAAGAAAATCGTCAAGGAGACTTTTGAACCGGGTTGTAGTTTCACTGCAACGGAGGTTCACTGGCAGTCTGTTCCACATGGTTGAGTAGCGAATAAGGAAAAAATTCTGACGTAAGTTTGTGTGGGCCCTTGGAATCGCTAGAATATTCTCTTTATTGCGTAGATTGTGGGATGATATCATAAGGTATGAAGGGGTAGATACCGAGGAGTAGGAAATACCATTAATGAGCCGGTAGATAAAGACAAGATTTAATTTGATACGTCTGATCCAAAGAGGTTCTAAGTTGAGTTTTTGACATCTTTGGTAATAGTCTTTGTTATCGGAATACCCCAGAACAGCTTTGGTGAACTTCCTTTGAACACCTTCAATTCTAATCAGATCATTATGTCTACAATTACTGTAAACTAAACTACCATATTCAAGAATGGGTAAGATACATTTTCTGTATAGTAACAATCTCGATTCGATATTATTGAAGTTTATCATTATCAATCCGATCAGCTTTCTAGCTTTGGATACTTGAGATATAATGTGTTCAGAAAAGTTCAGACTGTTGCTATATCTTAAACCCAGGTCACGAACAGTGTTGAGAGGTTTGAGTGTATGTGTCTGTACAGTCAGATTTAAGTTAAGACAGTGACCAATGTGAATAAATCCGCTTTTGTCAACATTAAGTGGCATATTCCACGAAATAGTCCATTCGTACAACTTGTTTATTTCCTCCTGGATTACCGCAGAAATATAGCTTTCTTTCGTGGGAGAAGAGAGTGAATAAACTACTTTCAGGTCATCAGCAAAAAGGAAAGGCTTACCATACTGAAAGAGGGAACACACATCATTGATAAAAAGGAGAAAGAGCAATGGACCAACCACACTTCCTTGTATAACCCCACTGGTTACATTTACAGGTTTAGAGTAGCAAGATCCAAAGCGAACGATTTGGCTACGTTCTTCTAAAAAAGATTTGAGCCAAGATAAAAGGGGATTCTGTATGCCAAATGAAGAGAGTTTTAAAAGAAGAAGTTTGTGTGAGACACTGTCGAAAGCTTTACTAAAATCGAAGTAAAGAATTATCACTGACTGACCAACATCTCTTCTCTGGGTAATTTGATCAAAAAACTCCAGGTGCGATGTGAAACATGAGCGTTTAATCATGAACCCGTGTTGGGATGGGCTGATCAGACTAGCTGAAAGTAAAAATGATAGTAGCTGTTTGTGGATGATTTTTTCCATGGTTCTTGAGAGCACGGATGTCAAATTAATTGGCCTATAGTTAATAATATCACTACGTGGTCCTGTTTTGAATCTAGGGGTGATAAGGGATGTTTTCCATACAGATGGATAGGTCCCATATTCCATAGATAGATTGAAAAGTTTCAAACAAAATAGTGGAAATTCTTTACTTCCATATTTCACAAATGATGTAGGTATCCCGTCAGGTCCACCATCATAAGACTTTTTCAGGGCAGTTATGGCCTGCTTGATGTTGGAGGGTGTGAAATCAATTTTCGACAGATGTCTGGATGTTAGCATTGGAAATGTAATGATGGAGCTTTCAGTTCTAGTCTTGTAGCACTGCGAGAAGTGCTTGCTGAATTGTTCGCATATAGTATTCGGGTCGTTAACAATGCTTCCGTTAACTATGAAGAATTTGGTCGTGCCAAGGGAATTTGACTTTACACGGGATTTAAAAAGTCGAAGTATTGATAATTCTGGGCTTTTACTACGTAGAGCTTTATTTTCTATATTCATGAAATACTTATGTTTAGATGAAGCATTTCTGTCGATTAATTTAAGTATACTCTGAAGTGCATACACATCATTCTGCTCATAGTAGCGGTATTTTAATTTCCTCAGCTTTCTTTTAAAAGTATTTTGGCCCCTATTAGCATTATAAGCCACACGGCTAATAACTGGAGCAGTGCAGTCAAGACAATATATCAGGTTGTGATATAGATTGGAAAGCGCAATGTCAACATTATTTGTGGTAAAATAAGTTTCCCATGGTAAACATCGAATGAGAGTTTCAGTCCGTTTCCATGTTTGTTGATCAAAATATCTGCTCTGGTACGTCATTGAAGCTTTAGAGTTCAATTGTATGGCGTTTAAAGAGTGAATAATGCTCACTACAACTCTATGGTCACTCATAAAAAACTCATGACTGGTATGCACTGAGATAGAGTCTATGTTGATTGTGAACATTAAATCAAGTGTATTATTCCCCCTGGTTGGTTTTCGGACCTGTTGAACCCATCCACAAATTTCTAATGTTTCAACTAGCTTGTTATATCGACCTGGTACCGGAGTCAAGCCCCATGTAATTTTTGGCAGATTAAAATCACCTCCGATGATTTTAAAAGTATGCGGTTGATGCGAAGCAATGGAAAATATGTTTGTTAGTAATCTGTCAAACTTAGTATCCGCATGAGGTGGTCTATATATGCATCCCACCAGTAAATAATTTTGTGATTTACAGTTTACAGTAACCCAAGTGGATTTATCCTCAAATTTGAACACTTGAATGTCTGAACGGACATAGATAATTGTACCACCTACTATTCCATAACATCTATCGGTTCTAAAGAAAACGTAGTTATCTACATTCAAGGAATGATCGGATATACATGAATTGCACCACGTTTCCGTAATAAGTACAATGGTTAGATTTACAAGGAATAAAAGAGTTTTAAGATGAATAATTTTATTAGACAGAGAGCGGGCATTGAACGAAAGAATAAGAAACTCAGAGTCATCATAGTGAAGCAGGTTGGAGTATAAATCGCAATCGGTAGTTCCATGAATACTCATAGGATTAGCTAAGGTAAGAGTTGTGTTGCGAGGGGAAATAGATTCAACCACTTTGTCATCATGTGAAATATGTTTACCGTTGCCGGCAGGAAAGCCGGCGGAATTACAAAGACTTTTTTTTCATTGCTATTGAATATAACGTCTGATAAGGGCATACTGTACATATTGGGAGCCGGACCAAGAAGGCTATCAGGTCTATGGTTGTGACCAGGTAGCCAATTACAATTCGGATAACTATTTATACCTGACGTATGGGTAACGTGTTTAAGACGTTTATTTCCAAGGTTTGTGGTTGATTTCGGCTTCTTCATAGGTTGGAGAGGATTGTGTACTGTTAAACATACTTGCGATGGTTTGCGAGGTTCGAATATATCAACGTTAAGTGCGTGGTCAGTTATATGGATGTTATGATTAGTTTTCCTGTTATCCGTTGCACAGTTACTGTAACTGGGTGTTGCACTAACAGGGGTTTGGACTGTGTTATCCCATTCTTCATCAGCACAACTACTTCGGGTTGAATCTAAGTCAACATTCTCAAGAGGATGGACACCACCTACATCGGGATTACTTTCCTCTGGGTTTTGAACTTTAGGAGATTCAGAAGAGTTTTTCGGTGACGGCAAAATTGTTAAGCTAGACGTCCTCTTAGAATGGGACTTAACTTTACGACCATTAGGATTATGATGCGTTTGAGAGTTTGACGCTGGTGGTCTGTAGTTATCTCTTTCTGCTTTTCGCTGGCATGGTGTTTTATCCAGAAGAGTCTTAATATCCTTGAAAATCTGTTTTTGTCTCAATGAATTGGAGGAATTTAAAAATTCACTGGCGTCTACAGATGAGTTGATTTTGATCAAGATCGGTGAGTGCATACCAGGATGACTTCTTTTTAATCTTGTGCATACACATGGTACATGTGTCATATTGCTGGCTCTAAGCAGACTAGATTTGATATTTTTAAGGGCATGTGTATCCGGTATATTAAACACAATTGCATTACTAGATCGTCTTATTCTTTCAAATACCTCTGATGCAACACGATCTAGGAAAATATTTATGTCATTCATTTGATCTGGAGTCTCTGTGAGGTTGGGGTTGATGAGATATTTAAGCGGGTTGAGAATGTTCATGTCTACTTGCAACTTTTTTATAGCATCCATATGGTTGCAGTTGCGATTATCACCACTGTTTACCATCAGAGTTTTCAACATGTCTGGAATGGAGACAACTGGTAAAAGCTTGTCTGCTTCCAGATGAACGGAGTGGCTCATCTCGTTGAAACTGTTGGAAATCGTGTCAGTAGTGGTGTTAAATTGTGTCGTTTTCCTACGTTTGGCTGGACGCCTAGAAGCAGGGGTCTTCATTTTCTTTTGTGGCATGATAAGAAAGTGACGTATAGCAAGTGGATTGAACAGAATGTTGGAAATAGAAAGGGGTGAAAAAAAATCAATTCCAAGGGCTCAAGTTAGTCTAAAAATCAAAATCTATGTTTTAACCAGGGGTCAATGTATCGTGAGGATTAGTGGTGTTAAAAACAGATGACAATGGCAGGAAGATAGTAGTGGAGATGAAGTATTTATGTCAGTATCTGTGTAGAGGCAAAATAGAATATAAAGGAGCAAGTTGTATAAATTTTAACACATATGACATGAAAGATAGCCTTATATGGTAAAGTAATTTAGAAATGTCAATAATTAGTAACATACAATCAAAAAAGTACGGTACGTGATACATATATAAACTGAAAGTCCGTATTAGTAAAAATTGGGAGGTGCAGAGACAAGTAGTTTAGAAGATTATTACCGTCTAAGATTATTATGTTGCTTCTTGAACAAATATATGAAACAGCTTTTTGGAAAAAAATACTGTCAAAAAAAACTATGACAGACTTACCGAATTGGACAGGTAGCTTCGGAAATTAAATGATTTATAGTATCCAAATACGATTTAAATGATAGTTCATAAAATAGTGAATACAGTCCTTTAACATACACGGTTATATATATTTCTTGATATTAGGTAGAGGTTTGAATAGATCCTGTAGATGCATAAAGTACGTGGGTTAAAGTATTCAAATACGATATAACCATATATTCCTTAAGGAATAGAATAGAGATATGAAATACAAATCTTCGTCAAATATGATTATATATGGTTTCAAAGTGACAGAGTATAGTTTGGTCGTATAGTCAAAATGAAAATATGTAATTAGATTATTATGAATTATTGTATGAATATGGTCATAAATACCGTAAGTTAAACTCAGAACTTATCATATGGCATGAAATTCACAGTTTATATGTTAATAGTTAAGAATAGAGTTAACTTCTATAATTCCAAGAAAAAATAATTCATCCAGCTCCGCGAGAATCCTAGAAAAATAAAACTAAAAACCTCGGCCTGAAAGTAACGTCCAGTCCGTAGCGCGCGGTTGCTAAAGTTGTAGTAAGCCCACATGAAGGAAAAGAAGTCAAGGCTGGTACAAGGAAAGCAGTTTATTAGAAGGATGTGTGTATAGAGGATGAAGTGGTAAGAATACTAATGACTATATCTTTTGTTGTTTAACTTTTTTTCCTTTTTTGTTTATCCGATGCCAGCCACACAATCCTAGTGTAAAAGTCCGAGTTAGCATGTTATAGGTTGTCTTAATAGAATAGCTAACCCAGCATAATATTGGAAACGTGAGTCTGAGTGGTGAGCGTAGGAAGACAATCTATATCAAAGATTGATTGACTTATTCTCAATCATAAAGAGCTTGATACCTTCAAAATGTTCTGCCTCCACAAACACGGGTGGATTGAAGTTATCGCCCTCACTAACAGTGCTTGCTGGTCAGTAACTCCGCCCTCCCTCCTTTTGTGATGTTAGGCTCATTTAAGCTTATTTTTGTATATATGTCATACCTCACACAATCCTCTGTATTTCACATCCTGTTGGAAAGCACTATTTCTAAAAGTACCATTTTACAAGCTTATCAGGCAGTTACAGGTTATGAACTGTGGATAAGGCATCGATGCAGTGCTTCTGTTGACTATATTATAGTATAGTTTGCCAATCAGAGTATAAGCATTAAGAATGGTATAATGTAGGATGGTTGTTTATTAAAGCAGGCGAAAAAGTATGGAATTATATGAGTTGTAGATAAGGTAACGAGTGATGAAATAATATTAATTGATAGTCAACATAGTGTGCAGAAGAGTAAAAAGCTAATAGAGGATAAACAGGAAGAAACTCACAGTAACTTGGTGCTGATGTTATTTTGTGTTGTCCTAACCAGTTGATTGGTAACAGGCTCCATAGATGCAAGATCACTGGTAGTAGGCAATCGATTGTGCGGTCCTCTTGACTTTCTGAGGGTGGTAGTGAGCGCCCCTTAGCGACCGAGTTTAGTTGAACAGTATCGATAGGTTCAGTGAGTTACCTGTCTACTTCAAGGGAAAAATTAGGGTGGAAAAAGTAACTAGTACAACTGCAAAGTAGGAAAAATAAGGCAAACTGAACTTGAAGTCCATTTTGGTCTAGACATGGAGAGAGCCTATGATGTCTGAGTGGGGTGCAGATGTGTTCGTACGTGCAAGATCGGTGCGAGTGAGGGCTTGATCAAGCAGTTTCACAAACGTATGTGGTTCATCTGCCATGCGAGTCTCGGAAGGAAGACTGTTCCATATTATTGCATACTTGGTGAGGAAGAAGTTTTCCCGAGTTTTTGATCTGTATTTCTCAACTTTGACCGTAGATACTTTGTTTCGAAGTTCGTATTCATGTGAATCTCGGGCAAGAATTATCTGACATGTTGAGTAAGTAAGGTTTTTGAGTAGTTTGAAGTAGAGAATCAAATTAGACCTAAGTCTTCGTTTCCAAAGGGGTTCTATTCCTAAGATTTGGCATCGGGAACTATAGTCAATGACTGAGTCAGTCTTAATTATTTTGCGGGTGAATTCTCGTTGTATTCCTTCCACCTTTGTTATATCAGATAGGCGTAGGTTGGAAAATAAGAACGAGCAGTATTCAACGATAGGTCTTACACAAACCTTGTCAAGAAGGATATTAGATTCATTTTGATAGAAATTACGGAGAATGAAGCTAAGCAATTTCTGCATTTTAGATGCTTTGGCTGAGATGTGCTCAGAGAAATTAAGACTGTGTGGGCAATGTACCCCTAAGTCAGCTACTGATGCCAGTCTGCGCAATGTGTGATTGCTAAGTGTTAGTGTTATTTTAAGAGACGTGTCTCCTATACATAACCAGCCGCATTTCTCTGTGTTGAGCTCTAACCTCCAGTGTTTGCACCAGTTGAGGTCATGTTGGATTGTTTGCATAGTACTACTTAAATCGCAAATGTCAGTTTTATAGATGACTTTTAAGTCATCGGCATAGAGGTAGGTCTTACCTGTGCTAAAGCACTTGCATATATTGTTGATGTAGATTATAAAGAGCAACGGACCCAAGACACTACCCTGCACAACACCACTGGTTATTGGTCGAGGTGTAGACGTTGTAGAGTTTATCTTGGTTATTTGATATCTGTTCGTAAGAAAAGACTTGATCCACTGCAAAAGGGGATTTATAATTCCAACTGACTTAAGTCTGTTGATTAGAAGATTATGAGGTACTTTATCAAAGGCTTTCTTAATATCGAAGTATAGTATAATAACTAGTTTCTTCTTGTCGCATATACAAGTAACCTCGTTAAAGAAGTCTAGTGCGTATGCGTTCCGTACCAAGCAGCCGGGTCAGTGAGGAGAATAACGCGGACTCGAATTGTTGTCCTTGGTCAGTCGTGACAATCGAGGGATAACCGTACAGCGCTGTCCATCGTTCCACGAATCAGTGAGCAACTCTCCGCCGTAATGGATGTAATAGGAATAGCTTCGGGACATCATGTAAAACGGTGGATGCACATGAGTATGTGATCATACTCATGGGATGGTGGAAATGGTCCCACAATGTCAGTATGAACGTGATCGAGTCGAGCATCAGGCGTAGCGAATGTGCCGATGGGGTCAGCTACATTCTTGTGCACTTTTGATCGTTGATATTGTAAGCATTGCTTCACTCACATACGGACGTCTTCATCCATAGACGGCCAGACGTATCGTGCAGCCATGAGGCGTAATGTAGCTGCGATACCTGTATGAGACAATAAATGCAGGGCATCGAACATGAGACGACGGTAAGCAGAGGGTACGATGGGTCGAGGAAGACGGGCAGAAGTATCACACAGGTTAGTACCTGATCTAGTAGCTAGGGCTACTTCCTGGCACTGAAGGGTTGTAGAATGTTGTTCTTCTGTACAGGGGCTATCTCTTGCTTGGGCGACAGCCATAGCAGGAAGATCGAGCACCAGTAAGGCAACCGCATTCACTAGAATACGTGGCAGAGCATCGGCAACATAGTTCGACTCGCCTTTAATGTGACGAAAGTCTGTCGTGAAATGAGCGATACAGTCCAAATGTCTGCACCCTCGTGGTGAGTGGCGATCAGACTTGATATGCAGAGCATATGTTAAGGGCATGTGGTTGGTGAATAAAATGAAATCACGGTCTTCTACTGCGCGCCGGAAATATTTGGAAGCACAATAGGCTGCTAGTAGTTCTCGTCTCTGTGGGAGTAAGGCGTCGTGAAAAAATTTGAGAGGCTATCAACTGCCTGAGATGTTCTGTTGCATAACGGCTCCTATAGCAAAATCCGATGCATCAACAGCTATGCTAGGCGTGTCTAATGGGTCAGGATGAGTGAGGAGTGTGACTTGAGAGAGAGAGCTGTTTTGATCTCTGAAAATGCAGTACGTGCGGCATTGTTCAATTCTAATTTGCGTGGATTACCGCGAAGTAAATCGGTTAATGGTCGCAACCGTTCTGCCGCGTGTGGGATGGAACGTCGATAGAAGTTAACCAAACCGAAAAATGCATTCAGTTCCTTGAGTGTGGACGGTACGTTGTACTCCCTTATTGCACGTACTTTGTCCCCGCAAGGTGAAATACCCTCTTACTTAATGATGTGACGCAAGAACATTATTTCTGGTTTGCCAGATTCACACTTGTCCGGGTTGACTACTATTGTATTATCCGAAAAGCGTTGGAATAATAGTGTAAGATTTTGATAGTGTTCATCTACGTTTGATGATGCGATTAGCAAGTCATCAATATAGACGTAAACGAAATCAAAGTCTCGTATCATGCTATCGATAAACCTTTGGAAAGTTTGAACAGCATTCCTTAATCCAAATGGCATTCGTAGGAACTCAAACAGACCGAAAGGAGTCGTGATAGCGGTTTTCTTGATATCTTCAAGAGCGACTGGGATCTGATGATATGCTCGTACCAGATCGGTCTTAGAAAAGATAGTCGTGCCCTTGAGCGATGCAATGATGTTGTGC